TAATTAGTAGTGTATAACTTAGTAGGTAAGTGAAACTACTAATTTAGGTGTGTATAACTTGTGGGAAATGAAAACTACTTAATTGGTGTAGTAATAACTTGTGGGATGAAAATTCTATTTGGTGTGTAAAACTTGTGGGATGAAAATTCTATTTGGTGTGATAACTTGTGGGATGAAAATTCTATTTGGTGTAATAACTTGTGGGATGAAAATTCTATTTGGTGTGATAACTTGTGGGATGAAAATTCTATTTGGTGTAATAACTTGTGGGATGAAAATTCTATTTGGTGTGATAACTTGTGGGATGAAAAGCTACAGAATGGTTTATATGTGATGTGTCAACCACGGGTATCGAAAACATTTTTTAGTGTTATAACTCTTGAGACATATCGCTGAGCCACTGGGGAGGGGGAGAGCAGGAATGATAATATTGATATCTAAAACACATAATAACTAATGGTCCTATATGTTCCTGCGTTTATAGTGTAAAGGTAAAACGAAACATCGACTCGTTAACGTTTCGTCTGCGACGAAACTAGTGTACATTCGATATTCACGTTTGGTGAGGAAACTAGTGTATCTTTGACCTTCATGTTCGGTGAGGAAACTAGTGTACATTCGATATTCACGTTCGGTGAGGAAACTAGTGTATATTTGACCTTCACGTTCGGTGAGGAAACTAGTGTACATTCGATATTCACGTTCGGTGAGGAAACTAGTGTATATTTGACCTTCACGTTCGGTGAGGAAACTAGTGTACATTCGATATTCACGTTCGGTAAGGAAACTAGTGTATCTTTGACCCTCATGTTCGGTGAGTAAACTAGTATACATTCGATATTCACGTTCGGTGAGGAAACTAGTGTATATTTGACCTTCACGTTCGGTGAGGAATCTAGTGTATCTTTGACCTTCACGTTTAATTTTTCTTTTGGTAATCATAATTCGCTTGAACTTCAAAACATACATTTAGATATATCTTATCTTTTCAAAGATTAACATAACTGTATGCTTTACAACCTAATTTGTTGAACTATTTGATATTCATTTGGGTGATATGCCCGTCCAATCATGTGAGGTTGTTGTGATTTGTCACAAGCAAGAAAACGACCAAAGGTTTGTCATAGACGAAATGTTACATTTTCAAGTTACATGAAATTTTCCATTGATATTAGTTAAAAATGTTATTACAGGATCTATAAAAATAACCTGTTATACTTGATGAAAAAAGAAAAAGTAACGAGTCGTATAATAATAAATTTTGATTTCATTTGTTTGTTATGTTTTGCATGGGAAGAACAAAACGGTGCAGTAGCACTGTTATAATAACAAAAAAAGAAAATTCCTGTGGTCTGTGAGTATTCTGAAAAATTGTAGACCTCGTTATTCCGAAATATAGCTGTTGTAAAAGTATGAAATACGTAGTAGTGAAACAACAGCAATAAAAGAAAGTATGTAATAAGGGAATGTACAGATAGTTTTAACGACTCATTAAATATGTATTTTTATTACTAAATGCTAGCTTTTGGCTTTCTCTTTGTTACCTCTGTGATTTCTATAATGTGGTATGGTCTGATAGTTTATACAACATGGGAGATAATTGGCTATAAATTGCGAAAATAATAGTTAATTTCGGAGAGTAACTATAAACAGACATGATGGGAAAAGCCTTAAAAATGGAAACGGTTTACATATAGAAGCAATACCGCCTAACTAAGATAGACTTATTTTACAATTTGATTTTTTTATTCGTTTGTTACATTCCCATTTCTGACCGCAGGTTGGACCAGAGTATGAAACTATTTACTCAACCATCTTGCACGACGATGGTCTGGAAGTTTCCTGCTTAAGTCTTCGATTCCTTATAAACCACGATCACTTCACAAATGGGAACATGAGAATAAAGTGCGAGGCCAGCATCCCGCGTGTAAGGTACACGATGAGTGACGAAACACTTGTGTTCAGCGACCAGCTTCAGCACGTTTCAGGACTCCGGATTCGAGAGAACTTGAGTAAAGGTTAGTGACGCTGCTTCAAAACATCCACTCTTCAACGTCAAGGTTGCTAGAGTGAAAGATCAGAAGTCCTTATTCAAGTGGATTTAAGATGTATTTTAGAGAAGTTTATTGATGATAACTGATGGAATACTTTACTTAACTGAGGAGTAAATGATAAGTGAATATCGAATTTCCACTGAAATTTGAGTAAGATCATTCTTTTTTTTTGTTATTTAAAAATATCCTGAAGGGTGTAAACAGTTTGATTCTTGAATGTATTCTGGGATACTATAATAAGTCATTTATAATAATTAGTGCTATCGGTTGCTTGTGTTTCACATAATGTGGAATTCAATAAAAGTAGTGATCCCAGCCGGGATTTCGATTTAATTAAGATGCTATAACGTTCTCTTGTTAATTATTAGTTGTTTCGTATTGAAATTCCATACCATCAAATAAACGGAAAATATTTATATCAAGATACTACTCATAAATCAAAGGTAATTTGTAGCTTTAGTGAAATATAACAAAAAATATACGAATTCTATGAAATAACGCAAGATAACACATAATGGAACAAATTATAAACTTTTGAAATGGATGCTTTTTATTTCAGTCAGTACTGATACCCAGACCGTTATTTTCGTAATCTAAATAATATTATCTTTCTTTCTATGAAAAAAACTAAAGGCCTCTGACACAAGTATTTCAGGGTGTCAGAGTCGATAATGTCAAATGCAACAGCTGTTGGTGGGATTTGCGAAGTAAATGGCCTTTTGAGCTTCACTTAAACATGGGGTTCGATTTTAAACGTAACAGTTTGTTAGACCCACAACGTAGGAAAATAAAAAATAATATTGGCAAAAGAGAAAACACATGTTGTGTGAATTAAATCAGAGGCAGATGATTTAATAAAGAACATAAATTATTATAAAATAGTAAGGATTTTAGATGATAAATGCCAGAGAAATGCTGAAAAATTGAACACGTGCGATACGGTCAATTCCAGCTTAGTAGCGGCATCTTGTGCAACAAACAAGGATTTATACTCTGACGGTTTTATTAACGGAATTTCATTTCTTTACTTTCGCTAAATGTTCTTCAGAGAGAAAATGTTTCTACCAAAAAAATTCTGTCTACTGAAGCTTCAAAACAGAATTTTACTTGATAAGTAGTTAGCAGAAATGTTTTAACTATGTGTATTGTTTGGTAAAATATTTTTATAAGTTGCATGTAAAATCACTACTTTTTTTTACAAGGCCAATATTTTTAATTTTAATATTTTAATTTTTTCGAAATGAATTTGATTTATCCTACTTGGTAAGTTTTCAATAATGTTTAAATATGTAATGTGGCTTTCACAAGTGGGGCATGCAACTTCACATGCTTTACAAAAGACCATTAAAAAAAATCGGAAATATATCTGTAACGTAAATAACTAGGAAATGTAGATTTAAACAAAAAAATTATTTTTATTTTGTATAAATATATTTTAATTGAGTTTTTTTTAATATTTTCCTACACGCATGTCCTCATTGTCATCTTTGTCGATGTTGTGAACCTCCATTTAGTGAAACAAACAATTGTCCACACTTTCTTTATAAACAATGCTTCAATTAAGGGAAATTAGTTGCTGAGTTATTTATTACGTTTTAGGGAAACGTAAAAATTAACGCTCTATACAAGTCTACGTAGCTGCTGTCTTATTTTTAAATTCCAAATATCTAATTTCTGAAGATATACACTGTTGGAAATAATCATGATACACCTATAGGACTCATAAACAATAAACAATGGCGATTAGGCCGTTAATTTATCAATGATACCAAGCACTATTACAGAAAATATAAAACAAAAGCCAATAATCTAGGAAATGCGCTAGTATTTTGTGTGAGAGCCCTCTGTTTTTATGCTGTCACACACTTTATTAATGTACAATTGTGGCATAATGTTCTAGATGTCCTGTATTGTTCCCCTCAATTCAACCAAGCTCTTAAGTCGCCTTTCAACCTCAGTCTTTATACATACTCAAGAAAATGAATATCAGGACATTGTGCAGGACATGCAACGGTCGTGGATGTTCCCATGAGTTGTGTTCTTGTTTTGTGTAGATTTACTTACAGGTAGCTAGGATTAGCTAAGATGTAGCCCCAAACTTCTTTTGATTCCTACTTTGCTTCACTGTAATTTTTGTATATTGATTGTAATACATTTCGTCTCTCTTTGCCATCAACCAAACTGTTGTTGATTGTTGCCGAACAATTTGAATTTGGATTATCTCTAAAGAGCACACGTCTCCAGCTTTTCTTTCTCCAATACTTCTGGTCTAATATCCATTATAGTTTTTTGGTCCGGTAACCTCTTAGTAGCGGTTTTCGAGTACCTACACATCAACTTACACCCTTATTCCTCACCGTTTCCATAATAATTCCCAATACTGTATATCAAATCAATAAAATACAATGGAAAGCATGCATTGTTCTTATATCAGATCAAGAAACCATTCATTTACGCACAGAAAATACCATACAAGTTTAATAGCAAAAACTTAATATTCGTATAAAATATGTTCTAGTTAGCTGTTTGGAAATAGGGGTTATTACATGACGCAGACTTCTAGATAGGAAAACGTAACATCTTGATATGTATATGAATATATCAAAAGACCTGGGGAAAATCTAAATCTAAATAGTCTATTATCAGTAACACTAAGTCTTGGGATTTAGTATAGAATATTACACGTTTATTATAATAAGTAAATAACATGCACTCACACTATAGAAACAATTACCATATATTGCTTGTGTATTGGAGCGTTAAAACATATACATGTACCGATAAAAAAAATATTTACATAACGAACGCAATGTACTTTAAACATCACTTAAACACACTAAAGGATATTAACCTTTAGGCAACCAGGCCTCATGTTTTAAACTTCTAAAGGATATTGAACTATAAAATAACAGTACAGCAATGAATTGTCGCTAATGATAGCTAATGTGGCCTCTTGAATACCGAAATATTAGGTCGTCAAGAAATTGTTTGTTTGTTTCTGAATTTCGCGCAAAGCTACACGAGGGCTAAATTAGCAGTGTAAGACTAGAGGGAAGGCAGCTAGTCACTCGCAATCTGAGGGTCGCGGGTTCGAATCCCTGTCACACCAAACATGCTCGCCCTTTCAGCCGTGGGGGCGTTATAATGTGACGGTCAATCCCACTATTCGTTGGTAAAAGAGTAGCCCAAGAGTTGGCGGTGGGTGGTGAATATCACAAGGTTTCTAGATTTAGCATTAGGTCCATCCAGTGCAATGGTATCACAAGGTATCTAGATTAAGCATTAGACCCATCCAGTGGAATGGTATCACAAGGTCTCTAGATTAAGTATTAGGCCCATCCAGTGGAATGGTATCACAAGGTCTCTAGATTAAGCGTTAGGTTCATCTAGTGGAATGGTATCACAAGGTATCTAGATTAAACGTTAGGTCCATCCACTGGGATGGTATTACAAGGGATTTTACGAATCAGTCTGGTAAGTTGAAGTGATTATACCTTTAACAAGTATTGGGCTTCACTTCATATAGAATTGCGCGGATCCGAATTCAGTATATTGTATATGGAAACCATACGTCTGTTCGCCTTCTTTGTGTCAGTACCTCTGCCACTGAAGGTGGACGGAGGTTATGTTTTCACCCTGTGTGTGTGTGTGTTTGTCAGCAAGATTTCTTGAAAAAGGTTGAATGGATTTGGACGAAAGTTCTTATACATTTGGACTATGACCCAACTTAGAAGTGATTAGTTTTGAAGGGTCAAGGCCATGAACCTACTAATGTAAACTACAAGTGTATATTTTTAGAACATAACTTTCACATTTTTCCTTTTTAATTTCGCCTTGTAATGGAAGATGCGCGAGCGAAATTTAAGTAATTCGTGTATCAGTAGAATAAACCATTTCGTTAATCTAAGCCTGTGTTTTCAGTTTTGCCCTAAATCACTTGATGCATATTCTTAGGAAATATCTGGTCTCCATAACCCTTTCCTTAAAGAAAAAGTTTAATCGTAAAGAATATATGGCTGGTAGTGGTTTACGTGCTGGGCTGTGCATCCGAGGGTCCACGTTTCGCGTCCTATTATCACAAAAATCGCACTCTGTACTTTGATGCCGTGGGTGCGCTATAAGAGTGATGATCAAATCCCGCTATTTGATTATAGTAGCTAAATTGTTAGCGGTAGGAACTGTTGACCAGCTGCCTTCTCCCTAGTCTATTAGCTCAAATTAGGGACGGTTAGCGCAAAAGTTCCTGTGTAGATTTGCTGGAATATCTGCGAACAAACAAAATCAGAAATAATATATAATCAAAATAGTTGCACTGTTTATTTATTTTTTTCATTTTAAGCGTTATTCAAACCAGAAGAAAGACTTGTAAAATACCTTGGCTAAATATAAATTAAATTCATGATTCTTATTAACAATACGATTTATACATTTGTGAAAAAAAAGTAAATAAGAAAGAGCAGTTGTTTGATTTTCTGAAATTTATTCAGATACAAAATAGTTTTCATTCAATATAGTGTAAGTGTGATTGCAAAGCCTGATTGTTAATACTTGCGAGGCCCGGCATGGCCAGGTGGTTAAGGCACTCGACCCATTCCACTGGATGGACCTAACGCTTAATCTAGAGACACCGGTCGTGACACCATTCCATTGGGTGGACCTAACGCTTAATCTAGAGACCCTGTGATACCATTCCACTTGATGGACCTAATACTTAATCTAGAGACCTTGTGATACCATTCCACTTCATGGACCTAATGCTTAATCTAGAGACCTTGTGATACCATTCCACTGGATGGACCTAACGCTTAATCGAGAGACCTTGTATTTCCATTCCATTGGATGGGCCAAATGCTTAATCTAGAGACACCAGTTGTGACAACATTCCATCGGATGTACCTAACGTTTAATCTAGAAACATCAGTTGTGACAACATTTCACTGGACGGACCTAACACTTAATCTAGAGACACCAGTCGTGACACCATTCCATTGGGTGGACCTAACGCTTAATCTAGAGACCTTGTGATACCATTCTACTTGATGGACCTAATGCTTAATCTAGAGACCTTGTGATACCATTCCACTTGATGGACCTAATGCTTAATCTAGAGAC